AGAATTTAAATTGTGTCTACATTTGTGAAGAGCCCTAAGTAACACTTCTTAGCTATCTCCATAATTGCTGTGAATTACCAAATGTTAACTCAATTGCAAAGACAAACAATGAATGAATTGATTGTGCCATAATAGAGTTCACTCATGATTCAAAGACATAGCCCTAATTCACAGAAGATAAGATTGAATTAGTAACTGATTTTTCCAAAATGACAAAGAATTAGTCAATGAGAGAAGAATACAATTCACTATTCCCTGGACCTAATAATGTTTGTAAAGCACTTTATAGTTTGTAAACTGCTTTCACGTATATTATCTCATTTGATCCATCTTTACAAAAACATTATGTGGTATGTAGGACAAAAATTTCTATTTCTCATTTCACAAATGAGAAATGGAAATAAAGAGAAGATGAACACTTGCTGATGGTCTCATGCAATAGGACAGGATACTTGAAACCGCAACTAGCTTAAAAAATGAGGGACATATGATCACTAAGGGATTCCAAGTCATTGGACTCCTTAGAAGTACTCATAGCTTTAAAATTCTTCTACTTCTGCTTTTTGCCCAGAGTAATTTCTCAATTATTAATTTTTCCTTGTTCTGGTTCAGAGATTTAGCTGAATTTCTGACTCATCTTGTTTCTTCATAGTAAAAGGCATAGAAAACCTTTTCATCTTCCATCCACTCAGTCTTAAATTATAATGTGAGAATCATGGAAGAAAGTGAGTAGGAATGCAGATTTCTGGCACCCCTCTCCAAAGATTCTGAGTCGTTGGGTCTCAGGTGGAGCCTAGGGACATGCTTTTTTGTAAGCATGTGGCTGTACTTAACACAGGTGGTCTGCACGTTCCCATCAACAAGGACTGAGATTATCTGTAACTAGTAACTCTGTGTGGCTGAGGAGGAAACCAAGGAGGTTTCTCAGATCCTCTCTCCAAGCTCATCACTGTTACTGCAAAGAGGCAAAGGTGAGGAGCTGGCAGCGACGATCAGCCTCCAGTGAGTTGAAGAGAAGTTAATGGTGACGACACACAGGGCTAATATTTGCCTAATATTCAGGGAAAGATTTACAACATTAAATGAAAACTCATCAGATGTATTTCTTTTGCCTCAGAAACTCTGAAGGAAGGAGATCGAACCTGTCTCGGAGGCTCTGAAACAAGCTGCCTGCTTGCTTCTAAGGAGAATTTTAAGTGTTGACCACGTCTATTAGAGACCTAAGTGGTTTGAGATTTGGTACCCTAGTGACGGCCTCTCTCCCTCTGCAGCGCTGCAGCACCTTGATATCCAGCAGGGCACCTCCTCTGACGGGCCCCAAAGTCTGTTTAGAGAAGAGGACCTGGAGCCAACAGAGACCTCATCCTGGAAGACCCTTGTTTACATAACTTCCTCCCCGCTCCAATCCTGGGGAAGCCCCTCCTTTGGCTTCCTTTGGAGTTTGGATCAACGTTTATCTTTCTTCAGCTGGCCTCTCCATAAGAGTTTGTGAAAACTGCTTTAAAATTATTTAAAATGGCATAATGCCTGAAGTGCACATTTGTCATCAGCTGAAAGCTTTTATAGTTTTACAAAACTTTCTGAGTGTTTTTAACTTTATGCTCATGTCCCAAGGTAATTATTGCAAATGACATACTTCTGTTAATTAAAATAATAAATACTTTATAGGCATTTTAATAAAATGTGGTGATTTAAAGTTTAAATGGTATATTGAGTCATTCTAGAATTGCCAGAGAGCACACTTCTGTAAAAGCCAAATGCAAAAATACAGAGGGAGATTAAATCCAATGAAAAATTAAACAATGGTGCACTATGTGAGATGACGGAAAGAGTGGAGAGAATTGTTAAGAAAAATCTTCTCGTGAGTTTTGGGAAGACGTATGCACCAGAAATTTCACTTGCTAATGATTTTTCCTTGCTTCAAAGAGTAGCAGGTGCGAGCTTATCTTGTTGCCCTGTCAGTAGAGCATGTCCTCTACAAAAAGAAGAGTCATTATGAGCTACTGACTGCTTATTGACCTTGTGGAGCCACTGAATTGGCCAATTTCCTGCTCTCCCTACTCTGCATCTATTAGTTGACCATTAGTCTGATTTCCAAGAAGGAAATAGGTAGATGCAGTGACTAGAAGTTTGCCTGAGGATGAAACTGGATTACCTATTACATTTGCCTCAAATCCTCAAACTCTCTTTCACAAATAAACGTAACAAGGAGCCTTAGATGGGTGGATCCTCTTCTGTCTCTTGGTAAGATCTTCATCTGAAAATCTTCCAGCAGCTCGAAGGCGTGGGCCAGGACAGAGTGGCAGTCTCTAGGGGAGGGGAAGAGGCCTCTCGCCGGGTAGTTTTGTCTTCCTCATTCATCTATCACCCACTGTTTCCTCATTAGGAGTTGCATCTGCAGAAGTTTTTCAAAGCTAGGAAGATGAAAGTGGGAAATTTGGAAAGTGCAGGAAATGACCACAGCTGCTGCCCAGTGATTCCAGACCAGCACGATCCAGCAAGCTTTCTGAGATATGGACGTGTTCCGTGTCTGCGCTGTCCAACGCAGGAGTCACCAGCCACCTGTGACTACTGAGAACTTGGAAATGTGCCTAGTGTGACTGAGGAACTGAATTTTGTTTAATTTTAATAAATCTAACCTTGAAGAGCCACGTGTGGCCAGTGGCTGCTATATTGGACAGTGCAGTTTTAAACTTTCAGGAGGCTTTTTCAGATGTTAGAGGCCAAATCCAAATTTCTTGACTGGTTGAGTATTGAAGCCTTAACCTTAACCAACTCCTGAGTTTGAACCCAAACTAAAAAAAGTAGATAGCTGAAAAGGGAAAGGGTGGAAAGGGAAAAAGTACCCTTATCTACCATTGACATAGAAGGAGAGCACATGTGCGATTCTAAACCAAGTAGATAAAAAAGAAAAATTCGTTGATTGCCTAAACATTTGGTATCTATACAACACCAACAACCTACTTTGCCTTTTTTTTTTTAACTGAATCGGCAGACGAATTTGGCATTATGTAACATGGTGAAATATAAATGAAAAACAAACACCAGGCAGGCCTAAGTGGATGTGGATTAAATTAAATATTTACAGTCTACACAACAGATCTTTTGTCTTCGAAGAGAAGTTTTATAAACCAGAGTTTCAATAATAAAAGGGTGGTGGGAGTGGTTTTATTCATATAAAACCAGCCGTTTGACACATAGGCCAAAGGCGACCCAATCCAGCTGCCAGCAGGCGACTTAGGTATCACGAAATAAAGTAACTCAGTTGTGTTTAACTGTATAAATGAATAAAAAAGATGGGAGGCACAGATACCAATAAAGGTTGATAGTGATTATTTTGGTTAGGTTTTTGTTGTGGTTACTGCCTTTTTTCTTTTCTGTTTTCTACAGATTTTCAGCATTGAACAGAAACATTTTTTAAGGATTTTTGTTTTTCAAAAGAGAAATGTACAGGGGCCAGCCCAGTGGTGTAGTGGTTAAGTTCCCACTCTCCACTTCAGTGGCCCAGGGTTTAAGGGTTTGGATCCCAGGTGCAGACCTACACACTGCTCATCAAGCTATGCTGTAGCAGCGTCCCACACATGAAATAGAAGAAGACTGGCACAGGTGTTAGCTCAGAGACAATCTTTCTCAAGCAAAAAGAGGAAGATTCGCAATGGATGCTAACTCTGGGCCAATCTTCCTCACCGAAAAAAAAAGAAAAAAGCATAGAGAATAATTATAATAAACATTCATGTGCCTGCCACCCAGATTGAACAATTGTTCGTAATTTGTTATATTTGCTTTGAATATTTCTTTTTTGGAAGGAATAGAACACCAGAGCTACAGCTGAAGCCCCTGTGTACCCTTCCCCAGTCCCTCTGCCCCTTTCTCCCCAGGAGCAACTATTAGCATGAGTTTAATGTGTTTTCTCACGCATTTGAAGTACAGACAGGTGTCATTTAATGACAGGGACACATTCTCAGAAACGCGTTGTTAGGTGATTTCATCATTATGTGAACATCATAGAGTGCACTTACACAAATTTAGATAGTAGCCTACTACACACCTAGGCTATATGGTGCTAATCTTACGAGACCACTGTCGTATATGTGGTCCATCCTTGACTGAAACATCATTATGTGGTGCATGGCTGTGCTCTTCCTATAAATGTATATATTCATGAATAACACATAGCACTGTTTTGTGTATTTTAAAATTCACAATATTTTCCCAAAAAGACATACAAATGGGCAACAGGTACATGAAAAGATGCTCAGCACCACTAATCACCAGGGAAATGCGAATCAAAACCACAAGGAGATATTGCTTCACACCTGTTGCAATGGCTGTTATCAAAAAGACAAGAGATAAGTGTTGGAGAGGATGTGGAGCAAAGGGAACGCTTGTGCACTGTTGGTGGGAATGTAAAGTGCACAGCCACTATGGAAAGCATATGGAGGTCCCTCAAAAAACCAAAAATAGAGACGCCATATGATCCAGTAATTCCACTTCTGGGTATATATCCAAAGAAAATGAAATCACTATCTCAGAGAGACATCTGCACCTCCACATTAATTGCAGCATTATTCACAATAGCCAAGACGTGGAAACAACTTACGTGTCCATCCATGGATGAACGGATCAAAAAAAAGTAGGATACATATACAATGAAATATTATTCAGACATTAAAAAGAAGCAAATCCTGCCTTTTGTGATAACGTGGATAGACCTTGAGGGCATTATGTTAAATGAAATAAGTTAGACAAAGAAAGGCAAACACTGTATGATCTCACTTACACATAGAATCTAAAAAACTGAACTTATAGAAACAGAGAGTAGAGTGGTGGTTTCCAGGGACTTGGGGTGGGGAAATGGGATGTTGGTCAAAGGGTACAAACTTCCACTTATAAGATGAATAAGTTCTGGGTATCTAATGTACAACATGGTGACTATAGTTAACAATACTGTATTATATAATTGATTATATAATTTGAAGTTGCAAAAAGCAACCTCTGGTGTCTCTGTGGCGCAATTGGTTAGCGCGTTTGGTTGTTAATCGAAAGATTGGTGGTTCAAGCCCACCTAGAGATGAATGATGTGCTTTTGGGGCCAGCCCGGTGGCGCAGTGCTTAAGTGCGCATGTTCTGCTTCGGCGGCCTGGGGTTCGCCGGTTCGGATCCCAGGTGCGGACATGGCACCACTTGGCAAGCCATGCTGTGGTAGGCATCCCACATATAAAGTAGAGGAAGATGGGCACAGATGTTAGCTCAGGGCCAGTCTTCCTCAGCAAAAAGAGGAGGAATGGCAGCAGTTAGCTCAGGGCTAATCTTCCTCAAAAAAATAAAAAAGTTGCTAAGAAAGTGATCTTAAATTTTCTCACCACAAGAAAGAAATGGTAATTATGAGGTGATAGGCATGGTAAGTAACCCAACTGTAGTCATCATTTCACAATATGTAAGGGTATCAAATCATCACATCGTATACCTTAAATTTACACAGTGATGTATGTCAACTATATCTCAATAAAGCTAGAAAAATAAAATTCATAATGAATTACAATGTATATGTTTCTATAAATTACTCTTTTCATTCAATTTTATGTTTCTAAGAGACATTGAAACATACAAACATAACTTGATTAAACAAATTATTTTTTAAAAGGTGCTCCTTTAAAAACCACCACCAAGGTAATAAAAAGTAACGTTTTTTGCAGAATTGTATGGTATGTATTTTCAAGTTACCATGTTGAGCTTCACAACAACCTGGGAAGTGGATATTATTATCAATCCCATTTAACAGATAAAGAAACATAGCTCAAGAAGTTCAGGAATTTGCTTAAGGCTCGATAGCTAACAAGAGGCAGAACCTGAATTCAGACCCTGGCTGCTGCAGGCAGGAGTTTTTGCCTCCCTTGTGCCTTGGGATGCTTGAGCCCTGGATTCTCATTTAGCCCAGCAGAGAGTGCAGAATGCTGGGCAGAATCCTCCCTTACTGATCAAGAAAAAGCAAGAACAGAGAATCAATAAGGGGGAAAAAAATATAGGGCAAGTGAGAAAAACAGAAAGAAGGGAGAAAAGGAGAGAAAAATGGTCATTTGGGTCAGGTATGCAGCGTTTCTAAATTTTGCCGTGAATGTGCGTAGCGTGGAAAAGACAGGCCGAGGTTTATGAAGATGGAGGGAAGCAGCCTTGAGGTCATTCCACCGGGGTTCGGTGCCCGGTTGACAGCCCCAGGGTTGGAGGCCGTGGCTGAAGGCAGCCCTTCAGCTCCCAGCATGGTGTTTCCCAAACTGCGGCAGATGCCAAAGATAATTGTAGACCTTACAGTGTAGATATTAGTTGAATGGCAGAGTGTGAAGGTGAGGTCTTTTTAAGTTGTTTTAATTTTTGTCCAGTTTATGGAACAGTCTGAGTCAAGTGGAGTACAAACATGAATGTTTTATTTTTCCCTTCCGCGATGCTCACTTGAATCTCTTTTTCTCATTATTTTGGGAAAGAAGGGAGAGGGGAGAAATGTCTCCTCCTTAAATGATGTCCAGCTCTCTCTTGGCTGCATTTCCGCTCTGGCTAAAAACTGATTGATCACTGATGCCCCTTGTTCTGGGCATCCGAGTTTTGATTCTCTCATTAGTGTGAGGGGAGTCCTGCGGTGGGCCCTGCATAGTTCCCTGACATCGGAGGGTCACTCTGGCCTGACTGCTTCAACTGTCCCTCAGCATCCATTCCCAGGGATCGAGACTAGGGTCACGTCCTCATCCAAACTGCCAGGGGCACACCCAGGCTCCTGCGAGGTCTCTGTCTCTACACATGTTGGGTAGCAGCTCCAGGCGGGGAGACTGATTCCAACCTCCAGGGAGGTGGGGAGATGCCATCTCCTTCTTACTGTGCCCTGCTCTCGGTGGGTAATTCTCTCAGGCCCCCCACTGCCTGGGGGGAGGTAGCACTCCTCATCAGCTGAGTCACACACCTCACACCTGACCAGGCCTGGGGAGTCCCCAGCCCCTCTCCCCCCTCTCTCCCCGGGTATCTGCTTTGATGCACTTACAGGGGCATAGTGATAAAGGACAGGAGTGCCTCTGCCTCCTGAGAAGCCCTAAGAAGTTATCCGGCCTCAGTTGTTTTCAACTCTGTATAGATGCCGGGGGAAAAAAAACCCTTCTTTGTTCTCAGCCTAGGATCCCAGGCGCCAGTTCTGCTCACAGGACATTCTCCCTTGGTGCTGGCATGTCTAAGTCACCTCTCTAACAATTCAGTCTCCTTTTCAAGTAGAGAGAGCATGCTTTCTTTAGACAACAACTTCTGCCTGCAAACTAAAATCAGTTGGATTTCCTTGTGTTTATTTTTAAAGTATATTTTATTTGACAAATGATACTGGTTTTCCATTGACCATAGTGATATAATGTTTTACTTTTAAGTAAAAACATGTTTTTTTAAAGTAATTTTGCTTAAAGAAAAATATTCAGTTGATAATTGTAACAGATGGTTAAATGGATACAGAAAAAATAGTGAAAGTTATATTTGAAAGGCCAAAGTTTGTGAAACTCAGACATGTGCCTTATAAGGGTTAAATGAGCCTAAATAGGAGTTAAACTGAGCTAAGCATGTAATGTGTTTGAAGTAGGTTACCAGGAAATGCTTGGTAAACGTTAGTGATTCGTTACAGCGCTGAGTATCTACTACATGCCTGATGGGTTTTTTGAAGCAGGTTTATTGACGTATAATTTATATACCATAAAATTCCACCACTTAAAATGTGTTTATTCGATAACTTTAGTGAATTTACAGAGTCATTCATCCATCCCCACAATCCAATTTCAGAGCATTTCCAGCACCTGGGAAAGACCCCCCCCCTGCCCCGGCTCTCCCTCCCTGCCCCCAGCCCCAGGCAGCTCTAACCCTCTAAGTCCCCACGGCTGTGTCTTTTCTGGCCTTGCCTTTCCTCGTGTGAATGGACTTACATAATACGTGATCTTTTTTTGTCTGGCTTCTTTCACTTAGCATGAATAATGCTGCTATGAACATTCACACAGAAGTCTTTGTGGGGACATGTTTTCATTTCTCTTGGGTAGATGCCTAGGAGTAGAACTGCTGAGTTGTAGGGTAAATTTACATTTAACTTTTTAAGAAAGTCGAGCTGTTTTGCAAAGAGGCAGCGCCACTTTACATTCCTCCCCGCAGATCGTGAGAGCGCCAGCTGTTGTACATACATTATTTTGCATCGATATGTGTGGTCATATCATAACCACTATGTTATAGGTGGGAAACCTGGGGCCGAAAGAGGTTAACTGACTTTAGGAGGTCTCACAGCCTTGCCAAAGTCAGTACGTAACCGTATCTGACTCCAAATGCCATCGTTTTTCTACTGTGGGACTAGGCTCTGTGCTGGGGGTTGTTTTCCCTGGCAGAGAAGGGGGAGTGCTTCAGCGGCTCTGCTTTTGGCTCACTCTGTGGAGCCACACAAGAGAGCAGGTGAGTAATGGAGCCCTGGGCTAGGGAAGGAGGTCTGGTCTTTTTGCCACCTGGTCCTGGATACCCAGCCCCGGAAGTGATTTACATGACTCACTTGTTTCTTTAACTTTAGGATGAAGCTTCACTCCTGCTTAATGGATGACACAGCAAATGAGCAAGCTGGGCGATAGAAAGAGGTCCCCATCACGGTGGACTTTGACAGTCTCGTAATTGCTTGGCTGGCCACAGAGCAGGGAGAGATTTCTGCTTTCCTCTTGTCTCTGAGTCAGCAAGTAGTTAGTTACTGAAATCATATCCGCTAACAGGTCCAGGCAACTGCTGACTGCATTGTTCTCGTTGCCTTGCTTTGTGGGATTGATCAAAACACAAACAGCAGGGTGTATAAGTTGATTACACAAAGACATGGGAGACAGCATAGTCAAATTGAAACCATCAAGCAAGAATTATTGCTTTCTCTAATCTTTACCTTCAGCAGGATTTTAATAAAAGTCTAACTTCTCTTATTCCTATCTTTCTACATCACTTTCGCCAGGGGCATTACGTTGGGGTAAACAAGCATGGAGTTTGGCATTTTCTTTCATTCATCCATCACGGCAGGGGCCACGTCTTATTCAGCTTGGTGTCCCCTGCAGTGCTTAACATGATGTCCTATAACATCAGACCTTCATCATATGTCACCTGGACTATTGCAATCAATCTCCCAATGGTCACCCTCCTCTCATGTCTCCTCTGTGCAGTCCATTTTCCACACAGTCGCCTGAATTATGTTTCTAAAACACATTTTTTTATTCAACGAGAAATGATGACATTTTGTTATTTAATTAGATTCATGGTGTCACAAATATGGCAAAGGTGGTGCCATACATTTCTGTGCATTTGAAGATGCCCATGGATTTGTGGTATGGCCAAAAGAAAAAAAAAAATACTTGAAAGCTGTCAATTGCTGTGGATAGTCCGTATTCTTTAGCAGGTTATAAGAGACCATTTGTAACCTGACTTAGCAACATGCAGCTTGATTTCTCATTATTCTCTTTCCATCTCTGCTCTATGTAAAAGGACCACATTCATCCTCCTTATATTTCTAGCACCTGTAGCAGACTGGAACATAAAGTAGTGTTCAATAAATACTTCTTGGTAGATTGATAGTTGTTTTGACCTGTTAAGAGCTACGTTAATTCTCTAAGGCTTCAAAGGAGACTTCTACTATTTCCTATGACGTTCTTCATAACAGATGAGGTATAAGAATGGTAAATAAATGGCGCTCTATTTTTTCTTCTCCTCCTAGTGGAACAACTGATTTGATCAATGCCTTAAGTTTTTTAAAGGTCAAATCTTTATTTTAAAATTGCAGAAGTGTCCTCCCCTCAAAGTAGAAGAAACTCATAAAGAAATAGTAAGAGGGCCAGTCCGTGGCCGAGTGGTTAAGTTCTCGCACTCTGCTTCGGTGGCCCAGGGTTTCGCTAGTTCGAATCCTGGGAGTAGACATGGCACATCTCATCAGGCCACGCTGAGGCGGCATCCCACATGCCACAACTAGAAGGACCCACAGCTAAAAATACACAACTATGTACTGGTGGGCTTTGGGAGAAAAAGAAAAAAAAAATTGTTTAAAAAAAAAAAAGA